GATATAGAGTGTCCAACTCACTCTGGTTTACTTGTGATTTTCTATTAATAAATTTCTTTAGCTCAGTAAACTCCTTCTATCCTGGGCAAATTGAGACAACTTACATATGTGGAGAGAGATTTAGTATGTTTTTCTCTTCCTTCTAAATTCATCAAAAGTAGTTAAACATACTGAAATATTAAATGGTAAATTTATTATAACTCTCAACATAATTTTGTATGATGCGTGTGTGCGTGTGTGTTCATGTGCGTGCACACATGTATGGAGACAAGAAGTTAACCTAGAGTGTTGTTCCTCAGGAGCCATCTATTCTGTCTTTTGAGACAGGGTTTCTCACCGGGACCTGGGGCTTGCTGATCAGGCTAGCCTGGTTGATGAGTGTGCTCTAGCGATCCACCTGTCTGTGCTTTCCCAGCATTGGGACTACAAGTGTGCTTTAGTACCCTCAGCTTTTTATATGGGTTCTGGGAAGCAATGTTAGATCCTCATGTTTGTGCAGCAAGCATTTTTCTGACTGAGTGATCCCCCCAGCCCTGCAACATCATTTTAAGTTTAAATATTTTATATATATTCCTAACAAAATTTATCATAATTTTGCCTTTTATAATTTTATAAATTACCAAATTTTACTTAGTTTTAAGAGAAGAAAACTCATCAATAGTATTTTTACCATATGCTTTTGAGAAAAATTTAACTACTAAAAACATGAAAACATATGTATAAGGGTACTTATTTTTTCTTCTCTTCCAAAGGCTTATCACAGTACTGTTATAGTCTGTCTTTATTTAAGATTTTGATATTTTGTTTGCCACAAATTTTAAAAATTATTTTCTGATACTGCATTAAAATATTCTGTCCTTATGCTAGGACCACTGGCATTGACCAGCAAGTAAGTCCTGGAGCATCAGGCCCTTGCAATAAATTGACAGAGGATGGCATTTCAAGAGAAATGGCAAAATGGCAAAACTTGTAGAGTTTGTGTGTGTGTGTGTGTGTGTGTGTGTGAGAGAGAGAGAGAGAGAGAGAGAGAGAGAGAGACAGACAGACAGACAGGTGAGAAACCCACTTTCCTTATCTTAACCCATTTTATCTAATTTTATCTTAAACTCATCAGGCACTCTCTTTTTAACTGGGCAGTCCCACCCCCAAAAGACACTACTTACATCACTGTTGCCTCTGCTTTTGGGGGAGCTCATTTCAGTTGGTCTCAAGCATAAGATGCAAGGCCAGGAAAAAAGCATTGTTGTTGGATCCAACCCAGGAGTGTCTATGGCCCTTCTGCAGAGGGTACTGTGGAGCCCCAGGCTCCTCTGAAAGAAGCATGAGGTGGAAGCCCACCAGCTGCTCATCAGTTCTTGCCTTTCTCTGGCAATTAGGCTGTTATGAAATTGTTGACTTTGTATTTGCCTTCAGGGCTGTAATGAACCTTTTATTCTCCAGTAAACACTCTGATCTCAGACCATTGCCAAATAGAGCTAGGCTCTTCTGGGAGGCTTCTTTTTGCAGAAGCTTTTCTTAGTAAGTTGTGTGAATAAGTAACACTTTTTAGAGTCAAAAAAGGCTGTGTAAGTTCCCACCCAGTAGATACGAGGTGCTGGCATATTTCTGGTGGCTATGTTGGAGAAATCAGTAAGTCATGATCTTTCCTCTGAATTTCCAGATCTGGTGGCCTCCAGATTCTAGGCATAAGATGAAAGGCTCTGGTCTTGCCTTTGATCTTCTCTTTGCTGTGTTTTTAACTCCCTGGACTCCGTCTACTGGGCTCAAGACTCTCCATTTGGGAAGCTGTGTGATCACTACAAACCTCCAGGCAATACAAAATGGATTCTCTGAGATTCGGGATAGCGTGGTATGTCAGAGAGTATCCCTCTTTCCTGGATGACTGTCTATTCCCTCCTTATCTGTCTGCCTTCCCCAGTATCCCGGTAATGTGCTAATGAAAATAAGCAGGCTGGAGACTCCAGTCCAGGACAATGCACTCCCAACAAATGCTTGTACTTTATCGTCTAAAAACGCCTCCCACAGGGACGCTGGCAGAGAAGGGACTTTTGATGTCTAAGACCCTGGGAGCAGTCAGTGACCTGTCTTTTCTTGCCTTACTTTCTTCTGTTTAGCAAGCCAAAGATGAAAACATCGACATCAGAATCTTGAGGCAGACTGGGTCTTTGTATGACACAAAGGTATGGACTTGAACCAGATGTGCTCTGGGAAACTGAAGCCAGAGCAGCTCCATCAGGCCTGGTCTTTTGTCTTTGCCCTCTTCCCAACCACACACTTGTCCTTTTTGCAGCCTTCAGATAGATGCTGCCTCCTCCGTCATTTACTGAGACTCTATCTGGACAGGGTATTCAAAAACTACCAGACCATGGACCATCATATTCTCTGAAGAATCAGCAGTCTTGCCAATTCCTTTCTTACCATCAAGAAGGACCTCTGGGTCTTTGTAAGGATCTTGGGCATATACCTCGAATGACTTAGCAACCAAGCTAGCTCTCTTTCCTACTTCGTTGAATGGGTAGAGAATCTGGGTTGAACCAAGTAACTACTTAGGAATGCCTCATTTTATTGAGTATTTTGAAAAGTTTAAAGAAATATAAAGTGTTAGCTGTTGATGTTCATGAAAATTATTTATTATCCATGAAATCAGACCTTTTCTGTGGGTGATGTGTCCTACAGCCTTATTAGTACATCCTGTGCTCAGGTGATTAGTTAGCAGGCTATTGAACTTGCTCTCAGGGTATGGTCTGAATAGGATCTAAGAATTTAATTATTTCCATAAGGACTTGGATATGCTTTGGGGTGAGTCTCCTAAACAGGAGCTAGTGGGAAGCCACTGGGACACAGTAACTACCTCTTTCTATTTTTTATGTTATATGAGCTTTTTGCCTGTATGTATGTAAGTGTACATATGTATGCATGACATGGTCATGCAATGCTCAAAGAGGGCATCAGATCCCTTAGAATTGGAGTTACAGGTATGGTTGTTAGCCACCCCATGAGTACTGCAACCAAACCTGGGTCCTCTGCAAGAGCAGCCAATGTTCTTAACTGCTGAGCCATCCCTTCAGCCCAGCACCACTTCTTTCTAAAAAGTCTTCAACAAGCTCCATATTTGAGGCTGAAAATCTGGCTTACTCATCTATCTGAAAGTTAGTTAAATGATCCCCAATGATCAGGCATGAAAGGACGTTTCAACAGAAATGACTATAGTATTATGAGTAAAATAGAATTCTGTCCCGTTCATGCCAATAGAGAGGGCAGAAAAATCAGAATTTTAAATAAAACTTACATTCTTTGGGCCCTTTTCAGCACACTCACATGGCATATCATTGTGGGGAAGAAGCCATGGAGAAATACAGCTGGATTCTGAGTCACTTCAAAGAGGCATATGCTGCTTTGGGATTGGTTGGGGTGGGTGTGTTCTTGGAAGTGATATTATAGATGGGTGGGAGGGCTATTCATGCTGGTAAAATCTCTGTATCCCTCAGGTTAACAGATCACTACAGTCCTGTGGACCATCCCTTGCTTTAGCCTAGGGAACATCCATCCAGGTTCTAGAAGGATGTTTTCTCTATGTGATATCCTGTCAGTGAAGAGCGAGTATCCATGTCCTCCAGTCACTCCAGAGACATGTATCTTCCAATAGACACAAATGGCAACAATAGTTTTCCAACATTCATACACTTATACCTTCAGAATCACTCACAAAATCATATCCACCCACATCGTGCTATTCCTCACTTCAGTACTTTGCACATGTGCCAGAAAGTTCTGAGTCCACTCCTCACTGAGTAGCTGCTCTTTTAAGATTCAGTCTAGGCATCACCTCCAGGAAGGCACTGGTTACTCCACCCAGAATTGGCTACCTCCTGCCAAACTTTGGGGATTCTATTGCTTACTAATCATGTAGTATTTCAGTTGCTGTTCTTGCCTGTCTTCCTCCTTCAACTGGGAATCCCTTATGGGTAAGAATTGTGCTGTTAACTTCTGAATCTCAAGCCACTAGTCCAATGCTTGGAATAGCCAATATTTATTAGACTGAAGTATTCATGGTAGGTAACAAACATACAGCGGACACAGACACACTGACACACACCACACACTTCTTAAGCAGCCTTATTGTTTTTATTTGTATGAGTTCAGCGTCTCAGGTTGTAGTCGCAGTTGTGTTTCTCCCTGGGCCTTAGTTTCCTATGTGAGACCAGGGTGGTGGGCTCAATAGTTTTCCTTCCTTATGTGAAATCCTGAGATTCTATCACCTCTTGCAAGCTCTCCTCATCTTAGGCAGTTAGATCACTCTCTACATCAATACATTTAGGAAGCAATAACCCCTGTAAATAATTGGCTCCAAATTCCCAAGTAATTAATGACTGACATAGAAAGCTCAATATATAATCACTAATCCATCACATAGGATGTCTTGCTTATAGATAGTCCACTCACAGTTTGCTCGGGTCAACAGCCTCAAACCAGAGCACATATGAAGGCTTTTATTTTTTCAAGACAAATCTTCCCACATCTCTACCTACCTTGGAATTTCTGCTAAAACACAGATGATGGGGTTGCCTTCCTTCCAACAGCAAGCTCTGAAAACAGTCTCTTCCAGTCTTCATCAGATTGATCTTTTGAAGTATTTCTACAATGCTTTTGTAAAGTGAAGGTGGTACTATAGATGTTGGTTTTTCCCAACAGTGGATTCTACCATTGCAGGTAGTTGTGAGCTACCCAACTGGATAGGTGCTGGAAACCAAACTCAGGTCATCTGCAAAAACAGTATGTGTTCTCTAACTGCCCAGCCATCTCTCCAAGTCTACACTTGCATATCTTTTGCCTTTAATGTACCCACAACTATTTCAAGTTTTGATGTTGCAGTGATTAGTAACTTTTTAAATTTCAAGTTCCATTACTGTGTTGTTGATATGTTGAAATACAGTTGGTTTTTGTATGCTGATTTTATATTCTGCAATTTTACTAAGACTTCTTATTAGCTCTAGTAGTTTTTGATAGATTCTGTTGGATATTTCAACCTACATAAGCATATCATCTACAAATACAGAAAATCTTTGCTTCTAACCTAGATAACTATTATTTATTCTTGAATAGAGTTGAGGTTAAGTTTACTGGAAGTACAAGGACCCTGGTTTTAATGACAACTCTGACTTAACTCGCTGTGCAACCTTTGACAAGCCACTCTTCCTCTTTGAACCCTGGTCGCTGTCTAAAATAATCTGCCTGTTCCTGTTCACTGAACATTTAATAAGACACAAAACATACTCTGAACAGTGCTAGGGTTATTATCATCCATGGCCTCCAGGCTTCTGAGCTCTATCCTCTTCCCGTTAAGTGTTTGACTCATGACAGTTGGGGTGAGTGTCACCTTTTCTCTCTCAATCTTCCAAGGAAGCAGCAGGGGAGTGGCTTTGTTCAGTGCAGCTGTAAATGGTGCGCGGGGGGGGTCTCTGTAAATAAACCCCCACCCTATGCTCTGTTAAAAAAAGAAGAAAACGGGCTGGAGAGATGGCTCAGCGGTTAAGAGCACTGACTGCTCTTGCAGAGGACCCTGTTTTGATTCCCAGCACCCACTTGGCAGCTACAATCCGAAGCCCTCTGCTGACCTCCGCGGCATTGCACAACACGGGTGCACTCATATATGCAGGCAGTATGCTCATACACATAAAATAAAAATAATAAAATATTTTTTTAAAAAAGAAAAGAAAATGATAGGTGTTTGGATAGATAGATGAAAGGGATCTTACTAAATTGCAAGTGGATGGACTTGCACTAGGGAGTGTCTGGGGATACTGACTTGACACAGTGGCCCTTAACATCCAGGACAGAGTATATGGATTCCAGTGGGGGCCTGTGGGAGGGTGCTGTTGGGGACAGGGCTATAAAGATGATTCAAATTGTTTGAGATATTCTGGTTAATACAACAAAATTTAATGAAAACAAATTTTAAAAAATAGTGGTAGTCTGGTCTCTCAGACTGGTTATTATATATCAGGGTATCTGACACCTAACCTCCATGGCATGTACTCATGTGCACAAACCCACATACAGACACACAAATATACACATAATAAAAAATAAAATAAAAATTTAGAAAAAGATGTGTCTTTTTCATATGTCTGTGTGTAGTATGCATGTGTATAAGTGTGCGTGCTTGCGCGCGTGTGTGTGTGTGTGTGTGTGTGTGTGTATGTGTATGTATCTGTATTTGTAGGCTTGAGGTTGCTGGTGGGAATCTTCTTCAATTGCTTTTCTACCTTATTCATTGAGGTAAGGTCTCTCAGTCAAACCCAGAACTTGCTGATATGGCAACTCATCTCACTAGCGAGAATGATGTGGGGATCCCTTGTCTTCAGGCTGGAATTACAGGCAGCCACCATGTCCATTGGGCATTTAAGTGGGTTCTGGGGATCTGAACTCCAGTTCTCAGCTTGCATAGCAAATGCTTTAACTGCTGAACCATCTCCCAAGTCCTTAAAGATGTTTATACTGAAAACAGTAAAACAATGCTGGGAGAAATGAAAGATCTAAGTAATGGAGGACCATGCCATATTCATGAGTCAGAAGGTTCAATATTTATTAAAATGTCAAATTTTCCCAGATTGACACATCAATGTAATTATAGTAAAAATTCCAGAATCCTGCTTTAGAAGGAAATTGATAAAATGAAAAGTTCCTATGAAAACAAAATAAAGCAGACCTAAATTTTATGAAATTCAATTTTGAAAAAGAACTAAATCATAAGATTAATGTCTGATTTCAAATTTATGTAAAATAGTTTGTGATAGGTAGAGAATGGGCGGGAGCGAGTGGCGCAGATGGAGGAGGCACGAGCGGATGGATGAGGCACGGAGGCTCAGATGGAATCCTCAGTGGGACACAGATTTATTTATTTCGCACGGGGCACCTTTCCCTCAGGAAGGGAAAGATGTCAGCTCAGGGAAAGATGTCAGGGGAGGGAAGGGAAGGGAAGGGAAGGAAAGGGAAGGGAAGGGAAGGGAAGGGTAGGGAAGGGAAGGGAGAAGGGAGAAGGGAGAAGGGAGAAGGGAGAGGAAAGATGTCCGCCAAGGGAAAGATGTCCAGGAAAGATGTCCGCTCATGGGTTGTGAGCTGCGACTTTACATATGGGGGCTTTAGGGTGTGGAATCAGGGAGGGGGAAGCAGGTAGGATTAGGGTGTGGAAGTGTCTTCTTTTCCTCTTAAGATAAGAGGAACTCTGCTTATCTTTGGAGGTCAGAGGAAAGGCAGGCTGCTTCTCAGCAGAGTTTGTAGGTCCCTGTTGGGGAGGGGGTGGAGCTGCTGTTTGGAACCCTAACATTCCAGCCTTTTGTGTTATAGGACAGGGGGCACCGTTGTCATCTGGCTACTTCCTGCTGGACAGGGTCGACGTGGGGGGTGGGGGAAGGCTGGTTTAGGGGTCCGCTAGGCAACA